ATTGCAGAACAAATGCATTAGCGTCAGGGTAAACTGCTGCGATAAAGTCAAGCGGATGCTCATCATCATCACCATCGATCCGTTACCAGTTTATTCGAAAATTGAAGCTTTGCATCAGGTGGTAATTTGCAAAGTAGCCGAATGCACATTGTACACAATGGAGTAATGTGCTTCTGATAAGGTCACTTTTTCTATCTTCCTCTCTCTTTTTCTTCTCTTCCTCTCTTTACTTTCTTTTATTGCACACATTACCCAATGGTTCTGATTTAACATTAATTAATTTTGTCAGAAGAATTTTGAACATATTCTTATGTATCGCTCTCGTTTTGCATTCTTATTTTATAACGTATGTATACGAGAATAGATGAAGGAGATATTTAAAGAGAGAGATATTTAAATAAATCACATCAGATACATTGGAATATTAACGGTGTATATTATTCCGTTATATCTTTCTTAATTCTCAACGCTTGAGCGGTTTATCCGGTCGTACACGTATTACTAAATAATTTTTCAAGTTATATTTAATGTCAAATGCAATTTTCGTGAAGTAAAAATCATTAAATTTAATGATTCTATGTACGAAATATTTTCTATATATCTTTAAAAATATTTTTCATACTTGCTTCTGCATTTTAATTGTATCTGAATTCTACAATTGTTTATGATAGAATGTCATGCGAATATTGTGCTTAATAACATGTGATATGAAATTATAATATAAAACCGCTTTCGTTTTAAGCAAAATTCTCAGAAAACTAAATTAACGTGCTACATCCCAATAATAATAAAACAAATTAATATGCCTCGTCTTCTTTGAGCTAATCGATATAAAATAATATCATTGTCTCATCTAAAGGAGTTAATCTTAATTCTTTCCCTTTTCCTCACGAATATTTCTCTCGTATTAATTATAATATTAATAAATACATTGCTATTAAAATATAATTCTCATTTGACACGAATGCGATTGTCGCGATTGTCACCTGGGTCTGCTTTCTTCGGGTCTCCGATCAAGCAATCCTTGCCCAGGCAGCATCTGAACTTAGGATCGCCCTCCATAGGGAACATTCTAAAAATCGCGACATCCTCGTCTTTCTCCTTCGCTCGCCTGATCCTTTCATCGCCCACTGTCTTCGTTTGCAGGTGCAACTTACTCGATAGCCGTTCACTCAATGCGTCGGTGGCCATTTTTCTTCTCGCAATTCAATCTCTCTCTGTCTCTCTCAAAATGTTTATGCAAACAAACACGCGTACATTCACCGGCTGCTGCAAAGTTTACACGTGAACTCTGAGAAACGGAACTTTCTTTACTCGATACTCTGCATCGAATGCGATTGAGTCTGACTTGCAATCATGATCGATAATTTCGAGATGAGAATTTGCGTGAATAAATTATTTTATATTTTTAATCAGTTTTTTATGAGCAATTGTTGATCGAAAATTCATTCAAATTGTCATTTTAATTCTGGATTCTAAATTTAATTGTTTGTTTATCTCATGGAATAGTCAATAATCGAATTAAGACGGCGAAATAAATCGCGAGAAGAGGAAGGAAAGAGAGAAAATGCGGAGCCCGGTGTCGAATAATGAAACGTAACGAATCGAGCGTGCGATTCGGCCGAGGGCTTGCGAACCACTGAAGGCAGACCGCTCGCTCTTCGGTTCTCGCTGGAGTCACCGTTGCGAGCAGGCGCAACGTGTGTTGCCGTGTGATAACTTGATCGCTATACCAACGAGAAAGGTATTCTGTACCATCCCTGCTTATGCCCGCGGATTATATCTGGACGCGCATCTCCAGATATAATTTTGGAGCCACATTGATCGAAGAAGCGTTGTATAAAAATTTGATTCTCCCCTCTCTTAGAAAATTTCATTTCTCTTTTGGACCGAATCATCTTTTTAATCAAGAAAAATTTACTTCTTCGATATCTCTTTGAATTATGTCAAGTATATAAAATTATTAATATGATAAAGTCCATCTCACATAGAACAATAATATATTAGTTAAATATTTCTGATGCATTGGTGATTAATATTTAATTATTTTTTTGTCTTTGATTAGAATATTTCTGTCGCAGTCAGTTGCGAGTGTCTCAAGAAGTCTGCGTATTGTCAACTTTGATCATCGATTGAACTTTGGAATTGGAATTATATACACTTAACGCAACATGTTACTTATGTAGAATTGCGCAAAATTATGATTTCAATTTTAACAGCAGATTTTGTTGACTTGATCTCTCACAACAATTTTTTCTTCTCAACTAAAATATTAATGCAATGCTAAAAGTTTGGAAAATTATAAATGAGTGATTAAATGTGTGAGGGAATTTTTCGCGAATTAATAAGAATAACAAATAATGATTCTAAATTGAAATTTATCTTTAAAATGGATTAATTTTTTTCAATATCGATTATATATATGATTATCTCATTTGCAATTCTATCAAAATTAATAGGAGTACAGATCATATCAAATAAGAAAGCTATATGAAATCTTTAATTTATTTTTGTTAGCAATTTTTCCCATCTTTTTTACGAATTATGAATTAAATAGTTATAAAAATTTAAGTAATTTTGTAAATAAAAATAATTACATGTATAATATAATTATTTTATTTTTTATTTGTAAATTGTTATGTTTTATTGTCTATGTATAGACTTATCGATTTATCCGCATTTTAATAAACTAAGCAAAGATTTATTTTAAAAAATATTTTTATAGTCACGATTAACGAATCTTTTTCTTACTATCGTTTTTTTCTTTTTATTTTTGTTATTTTTTCAATTGATAATTTGAAAAATTTGCTGATGTAGTCACCTAATTTTCCAATTCATTTCTCAATCGCCAGAAGAAAGAAGAAACATGATAAGAATAGATGGAGAGATAGATGGAGATTGAAAGAAGAAATATGACAGAGATAAAAAGCACGAGAATTAGGTAGATTGCATGTTTGCGGTATCATGAATCCGATCCAGTTTTACTAGCAATTCCAAAGATTGATATATAGTTTGCAATATGTCGAGTCCCGGTCACGCGTTGGCACCGAATCATTCGCGCCGACGATTCCCCGATCGGTTCTAATAGCGACTCCTTTTTATTATATCTGCCAAGGCTGAAATTGGGATTCGCTCTGACACCCACGCCGTCTGACCTTTCCCAATGTGTCACGCAAATTAATCCTAACGAGCAGCGGATATGTTGCGAAAGTAACGCGGACCGAATCTTGGCAATTAATATGTTTAATTATTATCAAAATACAGCGTGCATTTCTTTAATAATTTATATAAATCATTTAATGTATGTAAAATAATTATTTGTATTTAATAATTAAAATTAGTAATAATTTATCGATGAAAATAATTTCTTGTCAATTTTTTGATACCTAAAACCTTCCTTTTCTTAAAGAAAGCTAAATCTTCCTTCTAAATACAAAACGAATTTCTCTCATCTTTTTTATCCCCCTCTTCAAATCTTTTTGAATGCTTAAATATTCAAATTGCATCATATCTATTTAGAAAAAGAATTTGTCTCATCTTTTATCTTATCGGTATCAAGATATGCGAGTTTACACGTTTTTTTGCGCGCTTAAATATTGAGATTATCATTAATCTCTTGAATAAAAATAATATTTACGTTATTCAATCGTCTTGGAAAACAACAACTCGGGCTTGTCTGTAGCGTTTTTTAAGCGGCTCGTTATCTCTTGAATGCATTACGCAATATAAACCATCGATCGCGTAGTCTTATTATTAATTGGACAAAATTTCTGAGAGGGAGAAAAGTAGCAATTTAATTAAGATGCAGGACAATTTAACGTCACTAATAAAGGACTGGCGAATTAGACATAAAAAGAATGACGTGCTCTCAATTTCAAAATGGCTTACAATAATTGGCCTGTGTCTGGAGTCTCGGGCAGCCTTGACTCAGTTACCTTAATAAGAAACCAAATGCAAGATCTATATTGCTTTTCTCTTTCTCGAGCGTCCATGCTCCGTGCCTGACACCATGAATCACTGTCTGGGAACGATTCGCCAATGATCAATCAAGAACAGGTGTTAATGATGAAGATTGTAGGTGGAAATTACTGTGAAATTTCTTCTCAACACGACCTTTTATTCCTTATCGTGATTATTATTCTCTGTATCTCTATATATATCTCGCTTTACAAATTATATTATTCTCACGTTTATTTGTGTTTTATGATGTAATGACGCAATTATTCAGTAAGAAGGCTGTTAATCGAAATATTTATCAGTTGTGTCACATACATATCGCGTTGTTCACTTCATCTATTAAATGGTATATTCATATATTTGGTATATTTATATTTTTATATATTTATTTATATATATTTATATATATAATTTATATATATATTTTATATATTTTTATATTTTTTATATTTGCATTTTTATTTTTGTATTTATTGCTTTTCAGAAGCTCAATCTTGTTAGATTTAATGACGCTATAAATTCTTTACAATGCAGTAAACTGCAAAGATGATTAGTGAGTCATAAAATCCATAATCATATTTAGGTTTCTGGAACACGTGCATTTCAACTTTTTATTTTTTCTACTCTTGCTTAAGAGATGAAAAGAAAAGAACGATTTTATTTGTTGTAATCTATTATTACAAGAAATAATTATCGAAAACCTTATTAATCTGTTTTATTACAAGAAAATATTTTATTATAGAAAATACCTTTTCAAATAATCAAATTTTATGAAAATACAATTATTTTGAAGTTTTGTGAAATTTTAATGATCTTTTCTTTATAGAAAAGTTATTTTATACAGAATTAAATGGAAATAACATTTTTCTATTCCCATTGTGCATACTATAAACAGTTACAAGCAGACGTAATATCCGCGTTGAATATAAATATCTGATGAATATATTCATATTTGAAAAAGCAGTTACAAAGTTCTGTGATATGTTAGGAACTTTGTTTAGATTGGAAGACGGGCTGTGCAATATTATAAAGAGATTACATACCAGCACGGAAGATCTCGCCACATCCATCGCAACGGCTGGCGAATTGGGCGTCGTAGCAGTTGCCGCAATAGATCTTGTCCACCTTGCTACCAAACTGTTTGTCCACCAAAGACACTCTGCACCTATTGCAGAGGAAGCAGGCTTCATGCCAATGCTTGTCCTTATACGACAGATCCTGTAAAACAATATTTTACATTAATTTCGCACTTTTTTCCAACTTTTATTTTACATATATGTAACTTTCGTAATTGTTGAAAAATAGCTATTATTATTACGCAATATTCTTTCATCAAATGTGTCTGATCTGAAAAAGTTGCGTTCCGTTTAGAATGACATAAATTATAAACGAGAATAAATCGCAGAAATACACTGAGGAAAAAATTATCTTGAAATTAAAAAATTTTAGTTAACTCAAGAAAGCTATTTATTCGGTGGGTACTAATCACGTATTTACTTGTATTTGTAAAACGTCTGTTTGCTTAAGTTAAGTATTTATTTAATATGTTTAAAAAAATATAATTTTTAATTAAATATTTTAATTTTAATTTTACAAAATATTTATTAAAATGCACTTTTTATTTCCAAAAATTTTAAATTTTTTTAATTTTAAGAAGTAATATATTTAATTTAATAAATTATAGTATATATTTTACGAAAATAGTATTTAAATATAAAAAATATATAAATGAAAATAATGTACTTAATATAACATGCATATTGAATTAAATGCTTTTGCTTGAGTGAAATAAACAATTCCTTCCATTTAAAGTAAAAGTTTGAAGAAAACAAATTTATTTGATTTAAAAAAATTTTTCCCTTAGTGTAGAGACAATAGATTATAAACAAGATTAAATTTGCATTTAAATCTAAAATTATATATTGCAGGATTTAATTAACCTTTCTTAAGCATGTAGTGTCACGTGTATCGCGATAGAATTAATAATTTCAACGGAAACCGTTGCACATGTTGCAATCGCGAAAATGATTAATCATGTAAATTATATAATTACATCATGGTGATGATGATCATGAGAAAAATAATTTGTCCTCACTCGCTATGGGTCGATGATTTTTGCGCGTAGGAGCGAGCGAAATATTATAATAATAATAGCGATCGCGCGTGCGAGAGAGCGGAAATCGGTGCTTGAAGCCGATAAACGGGTACTCGGCACCTGCATCATCGCTTCTATTTCTAGAAATGAGTAAGTCAACGCCCATGCCTCTCCATCTATTGACACCTGGTCTCATAATCATTCGACGGTCGCTAATTGCGTCTTTGGGCCGTACAACGGACGGTCAAGTAATTTATCGTTCGCGTACGCGTCAAAAAAAGCGTATAACTTAAGCTGAAGAATGCTTAAGAAGGAACAAAATTTTACGAGCGATTCTGAATTTAATCGCGTCATTTCACACATATGTGTCTTGTAAAAATTCAAATTTTTAAAAAATAAATGTACAGACCCGAGTTTCAAATTACATATGAAATATTCCGTGATAAAAAAATACCTTGGAGTCAATGCCGATGATTTTGCTGCATTCCTCGCAGCCATTGGCGAATACGCTCTCGTAACACTTAATGCAGTAAGGATGCTCGTCTCTGAGAACGTAACGCTGTCCTGTTAGGGATTCGTCGCACTGCCAGCAACAGAAATGACCGCTATGCCAGTCCTTGTTCATCGCCTTTGTGTATTCGCCACTGAAAATCAACTGCAATGCGAATACCAAGCGTTTAGAATTCACGTTACACAAGTATTTGTTAAAAGTCAATCTCAGAATTTTGACATTGATCGATTATTTGATGTCAAATATTTAATTCTGAATCATACTTTATGTTTATTCTTAAACATTCGTCAAATTTGATTCATTTATGCTTTGTCACGTAAATCTTTAGTTGAATCATTTCACTTTATTTTAACAATATTTGCATAATTCTTTATTAATCGTGATGCTAAATGTACAATATTGATATTAATAAAATTTTATGCTTATTATATAATACTTGTCAAATTCTGATTTTTTTTTTAAATTTACTTTAATATTAGATTTACATATTAATTACGACTCTCCTCAAAGAAGTATAAATTTTAATCACGAGTTAAACAAATAAATGTATCGCAAGTTAGTTTGCTACTCATAAAATCGAAGTCTAATTGTAAGAATGACGTCTAAATTAAATTTTTCATATACATTTTTAGCAGACTACGTTTCCACACCTAGTTGTGGAAATTTGATGGTACATATCGAGAGGAAAAGTCACACACGGTAGTCGGCTCTCAAGACGTTTTTTTTTTCACCATTTTAAAGGAAACGACATAAAACGTCCAAGACGTTCCGAAGATAACACGGTAAGGAAATCGCATGCTCCTCTCATTGTGTTTTTCTATCGTATTGCTGTTTCGTCGAGAGTCCTTCGATCGGGTTTCTCGATTGTGCGCGATTATCGCGAACGGAATCGTTGGTTCGTGCCGGTAATATGTACCTTGGATGAGTGCTGTTGTATGTGCTGGCTGAGTATTTCTGTACAAAGTCATATCTATCGTGACACGCTTATGACTGTACAAATCTTGTCTCGATCGTTTTTCATGTTGCGTAAGTCAAACAAGTGTTCTTTTTTGCTTTCTTAAGGGCTCCGCGTTTTACCAGTCTTCGCGGAACCATTATTTTTTACCAAAAAACTGGCGTCATTTCTATTCCATGCATTATAAAGTAAATACTTTGCAAGCGAATAAATAATGGTTTCTTTTAAAAACTGATAAAAAACTAATATATATTATATATGATTTTATGAAAATAGAGCGTCTTTCTCTTCTGCCCGATTTCCTGAAGCGCCTGGATTTGGCAAGATACGTACAATGATTGTACGAAATATGGCTTAAAATCACGAAATGTCAGAGGACATCCGGAGGAAATTATTTCCAGAGTGATATCGTTTTAGATACGGGAAGCGTGATCCTTGCGTGACGAGGTAGAAACGAATGGTATCCAAAGTTAATCTTTTTTTATTCAGGAGTATTTTCGGCTGCTCGTAAATCGCTTCGACTTTATTACGAGCGAACACAGTAAGGAAGAGTATTTGTGAGACCAATTGCGCTCCAAGTACAATTGAATCACGAAAGAAAAATCGCAGAAACTTATTTTTTATTTTCATTTCCACGCAATGCAGTTATATCTTAGACCTTATGCAATTAACTCTAAAGAGCGCAAGAGACTGAGAAAGAAAGAAAGATATTAAATTAAATTAATTAAGTTGGATTAAATTAAAAAATCGATATAATTTTTAAGATCATTTTACCACACTTCGTGAAAATGCTTCTTATATTTATTCGCGTCGAAATGCAATGATTGCAATTTTTTCCCCATTTATAGTTTGAAATCAAGATTATATGGATTTGAAGTATTGTTTTCGTTATCGACAATCTTCATTAAATTTATTATCTCTCGATAGTTTTTCTTCATTTCTGATTCCTTACTTTTTTTCTAGATCAAAATCTTACTTATCGGAGTAGATTCACTCGATTAAAATCAATTTCAAACTTGAAGCGCAACCGCGAAATATACGTTTTTCAAGCTACCACACAGAAAAAAAGGACATTCTTGTTTTGAAAATATATTACTTTTAACATGGACATTCTTGTTTTGAAAATATATTACTTTTAACATGGAAATTTTGAAATGAGATTATACTGCGTTAATTAAAGAAAAATATAATTGCTTACTTGAATGAAGCCAAAAAAAGGACATTCTTGTTTTGAAAATATATTACTTTTAATATGGAAATTTTAAAATGAGATTATACTACGTTAATTAAAGAAAAATATAATTGCTTACTTGAATGAAGCCATTTTATACAGTTCAATCGAGGAAAATATATTCTTATGGTTGAAGATTTAATTTTCTCGAATGAAAAAGAAATAATGTTGGATAGAAAATAACATTTTTAAATGAAAGATTCTAATTTTCTGAAAGTAGAACCAAATAATTATATATTCTTGATAATTACAATATTAAAATAAGACTGTAATATCGTTGAAATTTAAAATTATTAAATTCTTCTAGGAAGATTATAAATTGTTGCGTATATACGAAACAATGAACGCGTTAGTTTAAGTATATAAATTTTGATTTGACATTTATTTTTTTTTCTATGTATAAATATATAAATTCAGCACACAGAAAAAAACGATATTATTGTTTTGAAAATATATTTAGTTTTGACATGGAAATCTTGAAATGAGATTATCGCATTAATTAAAGAAAAATATAATTGCTTACTTGAATGAAGCCATTTTATATAGTTTAATCGAGAAAAATATATTCTTATAATTGAAGATTTAATTTTCTCGAATGGAAAAGAAACATTGTTGGATAGAAAATAACATTTTTAAATCCGAGATTATAATTTTCTTAAAGTAGAATTAAATAATTATATATTCTTGACAATTACAATATTAAAATAAGACTGTAATATCGTTGAAATTTAATTATTAAATTCTTCTAGGAAGATTATAAATTGTTGCGTATATACGAAACAATGAACGCGTTGGTGTAAGTATATAACTTTTGATTTGACATTTATTTTTTTTTTCTGTGCACCACTATATTGTTACCGCGATGTTTCAGGGACAACGCTCTCAGGATCCCGTTCTTGAAGGATGCGGATCGCGACGGCCGTTAAGAGGAGCAAGAAAGAAGAAGTAATGATAAATAGGCTTTGCGGGTCTGCCGGACTATATCGTCAGCCAGCACATACTCTTCGATGGCGTGGTGATTCTGCGTGCTGTCGACCTCCGTGATCGTGACCTCCGACGCGTTCTGGTCATGGCTCTCTCGACGCTTGGTCGTCTTCTTCACTTTGCGCACCTTGCGCTCGGTGGTCGTGTACACTACACTGTCTACGTCCGCCATCTCTGTGTTTTACCCTTTTCCGTCTTCTCCGTCACGATGCGCTCTCTCTCCTAAGCGATAAGATCGACCGGGGACCGCTGTGTTTGGGTGGCTTTCTCGAGAGGGAAAAAGGATGCGAGAGAGGAAAGTGAAGTAAGAGAGATGGGAAGGAGAGATGGGAAGGATTTGAGAGAGTCCGCGACTTTTTCGACGTCGACTTTGGAAAAAGAAAATCGGAGCAGCGAGACCACTGGTCCGGGGCTGCTACTGTTCAGCGGCTTTCGAGCTTGCGAACTGACTGACTGAAATCTAGGATCGGTCCGCTCTCCGGGCGTCATCATATCGGGACGCTATTTTCGGCGTCCCGACGACTCCAGAAACGTGCCGCGCGCGCCCGCCGCCTCCCCTTCGCCACCCTTTCTCCCGGTCGTCCTTCCACACCCTCCTCCCTGTCGTCCGATCGCTCTCCTCCCTCCTCCACCCTTCCGTTCCTGCGTGTCTCTCTCTTTCTACGTGGCCTCTCCTTCTCTTGAATCTCGATGCAGTGTGCCGGGTGCAACTTTTCTACGATACGCCCGTTTACTCTTTCTCCTCGTCTATCTTTCTTCCTCCTCCAATTTCCTCGTCTTGCTCTCCTTATCGCTCGTGCTCCGAGATTCTCACCAATCGCCTCGATCCTCTCGATGACATTTCCGCTCCTTGGATTCTTCTTCTTCTTGCCGTCTTCCTTTTACGAGTATTTCTGGAAGATCCTGTAGCTCCGATTCGCGCGGGGAAACCAAGTAGGATCGGCGTAGTTCGCGAATTCCGGACGAGCTTCGCGGAGCGGAGCGTCTAACATTTTTCGATCGCGGGAGGAACGGGGAAAGCTGCAATGCGGGCAGACGTTTCGTTAAAATCAGCTTTATTCTTCGTGTTAAATTGTTGATGCCGCATCGCCGTCGCCTCCATCGTTGGCTCCACCGTTACCATTACGGGTGATACGACCGCGAAAATACTTGGCAAGAATTTATTTTTCATGGAAAACGATCGAGTCGCATATTTTTATGAATAATCCGCTATAACTCGAGTTATTTATCGGTCTCGATCGAAACGATTTAGTTGAGAATTGAACATATCGTTTTTTTTTTAAAAATATATTTATAAAAAGAAAAGGAGAAACAATTGATCCTTAGCAACGTTTCCAAGATGAGATAAATATTGATATATAATTATTGTTTAATCATTACAAATAATGTATTAATATAATGAAATTTTTTGAATTAAATTTGGAAGCTTATAATTTTTGCTTTAGATGGAATAAAATAAATTATCTTTTTCGCAGATATCGTTTACAACTTTTCGTATAAGATTCATTAAAGTAAAAGGCTCTTGCTTGAATTTAATGTGTGTGTAAAAATATGAATAGGTTCATAAACATATCGTATAAATAGTAACAGCGAATAATAAAATCATCAAATAGCCCGTTTACGATCAATCTAAGAGTTTCACTCTCATTCAAACTTTTGATGATTTTGTCGTAACACGTTTATGTGACGTGTTTTTAGAATTTTTATTATTCTATCTATTTTTTAATTTTATATCTAGTACTAAAATAGAAAGATCGTCCCTTTAACGCGAGTGTATCGTTTTGGGAAAAGTATCAAATTGCCGGTTACACGACACTGCGATAAAAACGGGGATGCATGATCGATATATGACTCAGAATCCCCTGTCGATTTTTTCCCTTTGGATCTGCCGAAAAAAGGGTGTTGTCGCGACGACTTGATCTCCTGCCAAACAGGTGGTTCCGGGCCGCGTACGTGGGAGCGCAGAAAAATAGAATTGAAACGAAAAGTAGAGATAGAGAGAGCAATCGGCGAAGTAATTGGGTCGGAATGTTTCACACATCACCAATATCTTCCATCTACCCACGCATAGGGGAGGAAACTTGTGTGCACATTAATTCATGTAATTTCAGAATGTAAACTAATTTGTGAGAATGTTAAAATCGATTGGCGAAAATAAGAAGGATGTGCAAGGTTCGAGATATACATATTTTTATTTTTTAATTTTTAATATTTTTTAATTTAAAATTCAAAAGTTGCGAGTGACGCGAAAAAATCTTGTAATAAATTTCCTCTTTGCATTCTTATGCAATGTATTATTTTTCATAACATATTCTTATATACATACACACATACGCATGGATATATATAACAATGTAAAATAATGTACAAATGCAAAGATATATATTTTTTTATTACAAAAAAATTTCAATTCACTTTTGGTTTTAGATCATTAAAAATTGAAGATTAAAAGAAAAGAAAGAACTTTAATGTTTCTAAAAAAATTGTATTGCCTTAATGCATAAGACTAATTAAAATTGTGATAATGCTTCAATATTTTGATATTATTTGGGAGATTTTAAATAATTACAATTATCTATTTTGCTTCACAATTTAGAAGTCTGAAAATGTAGATTAATGATGGGATGCTTTGTGTTGTATTAACAATATTTGTCGATGCTTCTATCATTTTTTTTATACTAAAAAAATATTATTTAAAATAAATAAAGCTGCAATATAAATTCAATGTGATTTTACTTTGTAATACTCACAATAAAAAATTAGTTATACAGAATTATTAATATTATACAAACGATGTTTCAGCACAAAATAACGGCTTAATAAATAATTGAAATGCCACAGGAAGTAGAGTACTATTATAGAGGATGCAACCAATCGGTAATATAATATTACGGGGGCCTGATGGGAGAATTAAAAATATTCAGGCGGCGTTTCGTTTGAAAAAGAAGGCGGCATCACCGATGATTCGCGGCGCCGACAACGAATTTCATCGTCGTGTAAATGTCGTGTTGGATACGTGCGTGCGATGTATACGTATATTATTTGCAGACGGGTATGAGATTGATATTTTGGGAGACCCCACGCGAGAGGCACACGGCACCAATAAACGTCGTGGCACCGCTGAGAGCTTCGTGCAAATATCAAGTGCGTTTTGTTACGGCGCTCTACCCCGATGTGAAAGCAAATTTCATCCCGAAATGCAAAATCGACCCTCCTGTATGCTTGAAAAATTATTACAAAGTAAGATGGATGGCATTAATTAACTTTAATGCCAACTGCTTTTGTGAAACTCCTTGGATATCGTTGTTATTATATTGTAAATATCTCTACAACTTTCAATTTCGATGAATATTTATATTCATTATTAATATCGCTCAGCCTACTGAAAGATGCAAGCTTACCAAGAGTAATTTGATAATTTTTTATTGTTCAAATAATTGATTATTTATTTGGCTTTTCTTTCAGAAAATTTTAATCACTAACAAGCAAGATTTTTTTTTAAGTGTCTTAAGTATTTAAAATAACTTTTAAAATAACTATTGTATTTATACGATTTAAAACAATTAAGATATTTATAACTTTACAATTGTGTTCAATAGTTTATTTGTATGATAATATATTTTTAATAATGTTTTCAATATGCTAGATTTTCTTATATTTGTGCTTTATTGTAGTGTCAATACTTGGCTACTAATTTCACGAAAGTGAACGAATATCTTCGTGGACGAGAAACGATAGAGAAGCGTGCGGGATCCTTTAGCAACGAATGCTCACTTGCGTGGCCAAATATTCGAAATATTTTGGGAACAAGTATTACGAAAGATCGGAAGTAGCGTCCACACAACGGTTGAACATAGCGAGACTTTTTCCTCATGGTAATACGAAAAATAAAGCTAGCAAATTGACTCGCCCGGTTTATTCAATGCGCCTTGTTAAAAAACGTTTATTGACACATTGGACCTCAAGAAATAAAGAAATCCAACGATCAACGGCGATTATTTTTAGTTGCCAAAGCTTCAAATACACTGGATATTAAAAGACTCCATTCGTCATGAAGCCTACTCGCATAGCTATAAATGCGCGATTTCTTGGATAAATTGTAAATTGCTCTAACTGTAAGTATAAAATCCCATTTTTTAATTCAATTCGTGTAGATTACGATGAAGAAACCATAATAGTTACGCAAGCGATCGATTATGACAGGAGAAAAAATTCTGGATTTTTTTATAGCTTATGGCTCTTTTCGTTGATTGCAAACAACTTTAATTCGATAAATAGACAAATAAAATATTCCAAGAATTTCTGCACAGAAATTCTAACATCGTTAACTTTTTCTTTCTTTCTCACTTTTTCCTCTCTCGTTCAAACGCCTGTGTTAATCATTTTTTAAGCAGTTACTTTGTTTTTATTTTATATATTTAGTATATTTGATTGATAAAAGAATTTGATAAAAGAATATATTTTATCATTTTCTCGAGAGAAAATTATTTAAATATCTACATAAAATTGTGAACATCATTTATATAAATTTCTCATGCGTTTTTACATAATAAAACTTGATTCCTTGAGATATGATAAGATTTAACAGAGAAATTAAAATTTAAAAAGAAGAATGAAGAGGAAGAATCAAGATTTTAATTGTGAAAAGTTTTCGAAATTTTATGATAAGTATTAAATTGCCGAACATTCGAAAGGAGTATAATAAAAAGCTAAATCTACTACATCAAATGAAATTATGGTGACCGGTCACCTAAATATATTACATTTTTGAGCGACTGCCAGAAGATAATTTAATTGCTCACGAATCATCTACAATCCCTCTCCTTGTCTTGATTTATCTGAAAGAGTATCGGTGAAAAGGAGAAAAACATTGTAAACGATTCTTATATTTGTGTATTCGCCAAAGTGTTGTAAAAGATTTCCTTGTACGTTGTTATTGCGTTTCATGATCAACTTCGAACTGTAAGGAGGACCATTATATTCTGTCTCGCAATATGGGTGGTAATAGAAGCTGCATATTTCATAATTACACGAATCCAGTTGATTTATTTTTGGAAGATACAATAAATAAGCGGAATGAAAAAATTGAATTCTTTTTAAATAATTATCTAGCATTATAGTTCTTAAATCGAAAAATTTAAATTTCTTATTATATTACATGAGATTTGATATTTCCTTGTGTAAATAAATTTGTAAATTTAATATATATTCTGGATTATATATGAGAAAATTATTATTTAATTTTCTAAACCTTCTTTTCTCTTTTAAGAAAAAAGTTTTGACATGTAAAAGGATATTAATATAAAATAATAATATAAAATATAATTTCTATATACATCGATACATCAATAAAATAATATGTACATTTCCCTCAATATTATTATAATTAATAAATTATAATCTTTTGAATTACATATTAACTTATTTTGTTTATGCATAAGTTCAACACTCTGGGAAATTTATCCATTTTGTACCATGGATTGAGAATTTGAATTAGTTGTCTTTGATATCATTAAAATTTAAGGGGATTAGTTTAAACAGGTATAAAAATTTATACCTGACTTAGGTTCAAACGGGTATAAAAGTTTGGAATTTAAATAGGTTTAAAAATTAAAGGTATACAAATTTAAATTTAATAGGTTTAAACAGGTATAAAAATATTTATAATTTAATTTCAAACTGACAATGAGATTTGTGCATTTATGAAGTGCATGCTTCCATTATCAAGCTTATTACCCAGAATGCTTTATTCTGATCGGTGTCGGGTATCGTGTACTGTATAGGTGGCCTTCCGGAACTCACATCCTCTGCGTCCTTAAACTCGTCATCGTCTTCTTCGAACGATGACATTGATCTCGAGTCCTCCCTCCTCCTCTCGCGCCAGCCATTTGATTCTTTCGACGAATCCAAAATAACGTTTCTGATTCTGTCGTAGTCCTCCTCGCCGGCATCTTCGAAGCTGGACACTCTCAACGTCTTCGTCTTGTTCTTTCGCGATCTCTCCACAGAAGCGACAGCGTTGGTCGCCGCGTAAGCCTGTCTATCCTGATCATCCGACTGATCTCTCGAGCTAGACCGAAACCTTTTGCTCTTGAAGGATTTTCTGGCGGAGCTGCCACGAAAAGATAGGTCTCTTCTGCTTTCGGAGAGCCCGACAACGTTGTTCTCCAATTCTCCCAGGATCTCATCCTCCAACAGAATGTCCTCGAACGTGGTCTGCACTTCTACCGAAACGCTCTTCTTGCTCTCCGATCTCGACAACTGTGGACTGTTGGTCGGTGACGTATTCGTTGACATGTCCCTCAACAAGTCGCGTACCGTTTGCACGGATATATCAGACTTGCGGCGTTCCGGGTCGCGACTTTTCTTCGATTTCTTCGCGCTTAAATTTTCCGCCGACTTGCTAATTTCCGCATTTCTGGACTTCAGTCTCGTCGGTTTTCTCAGAATCGTTGTCGAGGATTTGCCAGACTTGGGTTTCTTCTGGCTAACAAAACTCTTCTCCTCCGGGCCGGCAGCTGAGTCGATTTTCGGAAGATCGTTGGAGAGGTTTTGCGTTTTCTTGAAAACGTCGGCGCTCCTGCTTGAAAGATCCGGAGATCTCGAGGGAGATTTCCGCGGAGTTCTTCGCCTGACCTTCCTCTCCTCGTGATCGGATTCGTCGACCGACGAAGCCGATTGAGAATCCTTGTACTTTTTGATCATCGGCAGACCGTCGAAGGATCTCATGGTGGGCGCTTCGTTGCCCGAGTCCCGCTCGAAGGACGTGTCCACCTCGCTCGAGGAGGCGGACGCCTCCTTCCCATCCTGGGTGAACGGGATCGGCGTCGGTATTCTGACATACTTTTCCGGGTCCGGCGGGGTCAATGATTGCGCGACTTGCTTCAGACTTTCTCTGATCTCCGCATTGATCTCCTCTAACGATCTCTTCGTCTCGATATAATCGTCATCGTTATATTCAGGTCGATCGACGTGGACAGTCCACGCGTTCTCGTCGTTCTCTTGAATGAGATAACTTAAGTCTGGGCTGAGTCTCGAGTCCGGTCTCGAGCCACCGAGCAAATACCTGGTGCTACACTCCGAGAGCGTGCTTCGGCCGTCGAAGTTTTTGTCCAAGGAACGAAGTTCGCTTCGCACTCTCAGACTGTACTCGTGCAAATTCTCGAGCTTGTGTTTGGCGCTGCGAGGAAACCGCACCTCGGTCGAGTGGCTGTAGCTGCAGAAGGAATCGTGGATGCTCGGAACGTCGTTGTTCGTTGGCTCGTGATATGAAAGGCACGGTGTTGGCGGATTAATGCTGATCACTACGCCATCGGACGCGTGTCGCAGACATGCCAGGAGCTCTAAAACGCCGACGCAGCCGACCAGCACCGATAACAATAAGCCCATCTTCGATTGAGGTAATTAATGATTGAAAATGATTTAGATGATCTTAGAAATTCAGCTCACTTATACCGGAGATTCATTGTCAAGAAATTATCGTAGACTGAAAGTAAGGTTCAGTTTAAGATAGATTTTTTTAAAGAATCGTATCATTCGGCAGGATTATAATTTTGTTTATATTGTTTATCGGTTATAAATGTTTCCGTTATATATTGATATATCTAATCCAGTGTCTCATTGCATGATCCAAATTGCTGCTTTCGTACTTTCAATTAGCTATAAATAATTACGCTCTGGCAGCATTTCAAATGATGATCTAATTCTTCACTTTTCATCAAGTAATATCGCTAATTTTACCAACTCAAATTCACAACATCAGAGAAGATCCTTAAGAAACTGTCTTCAGACAAATTTGCGATTGGAAAGATTTCTATTATTCGATCGATGATTCTTTAACTTCTTTTCATCTCGATAATTTCTAATGAACAATCTCACGTACAGAGGGAAAGAGAGCGACTTGATTTAACAGAAATTTTAGGAATCTTTATATTTTTACATTTCTTTTTTAATTTATCACGATCTACACCGAACAATTCGGCGACGCGTGTCGTCATCGATTACTTTTGTAGAGTTTTTCTCTCGGAGATAGTCGCAATTTGTAACGCACAAGATTAGCTCTGTGTTTCGCTGAATGCAGAATAATTTGGCAGATGACATTCGCGAATGCGAAATCCCGGTTGCAACACTTGTCTTCTATTTTGTCCAGGATTCCCAAGAGTTGTCGTGATCGATGTCGATGGAATTTTCTCAAGGGAATATTAGACGAATTCGAGAAACGTAAGCTTCCTTGCGCATTCGGTCGCGTACAACTAGAAAGAGAAAGATGCGATTCGCGAGGAGTTTCGCCTCAAGTAACTCTCTCCTGGATACTTCCTTGCATCTTTTCAGGAATCGGTCAGTTCATCATTCCAGTACTCTTTCCTGAAAGCATCGACCATTCGCGAGGCAATTTCGTGGCTTTAACAGCACCGGCTTCTCATAAGCACGGCAATAATTCTTGGTGTCGGTGACGTCACCGGGGAAGACAGACGATTACGCGATCCTGAGAGGGGGCGGGGCCACCCACGCGTCACTCTATTCCACCACTTAGACGTAGTAAACGTTCTCTTCACGCGTCGATGTAGCGTCTCTCTTCCTCTCTTTCTCTCCTTCTCTCCTTCCCTCCTTTTCTCTCTCTCTCTCTCTCCCTCTCGGTTTTCGATATCGAATGATTGAGCGTCGATGATAGCTATCGGAACGCGAAGATCACGCATTCGATCACGCGATTATCGGCTTATCCATGCGGCCGGATGGCGGCCGGAGCACTGTTTTATTTTCCGCGGGCAAAAGCGGCTGGCCAGGCTGGTAGACGTCGGCTCGTTATGCTTCGACGTCGCGAGACGTCGGTACACGATGCGCGGGACCCGGCTAAAAGGCTAAAGTTAGCCCGAATGTCCCTGGACCTGAGTTCCTGTCCTTAATGTCTAGGCGATGGATCAGCGCGAACGGTAATTAACGATGTCGCGAGCAGAAGCTGCCGCACCGCGCGGAACCAGAATACCGTCACCGGTCATACTAGCGAGCGATCGATTGTATGCGATCAATAACGCGAGTTAATTCGCGAGGGAGCCTCGCCAGAAAAGCAAGCTCGTGTCGATGTTTTAATGCAAGCGCATCGAATGCGACTCTGCGTTCGTTAAAACGAGTCGAATATTTGGACCATGTGATGACGCCGATCTCACGTGGCTGCCAGAAGCGTAGATCTGATATATTTGAGGAGTAAGCAAATTTTGTTAATAACATTAATCTCGAAGGTCGTCAGTAAATAAAATAAAAGAAGTAATTAAAAACGACCGCACTGGCAAATTTTTTATTAAAGTGAATCACGACGTTTCGATCATGGTTTTCGTCCTTTTCGAGTGAAAATAATTTAGTTAACTATTCTATCGTGAGAAATAAGGAAATCACTTCGTCAAGATTATCATGTCAACAGAGAAAGACGGTCTTTCTCTGTGTGTTGATGGAGACGATTGACATGATAATCTTGACGAAGTGATTTCCTTATTTCTCACGATAGAATAGTTAACTAAATTATTTTCACTCGAAAAGGACCAAAACCATGGTCGAAACGTCGTGATTCACTTTAATAAAAAATTTGCCAGTGTGATCGTTTTTAATTATTTCTCAAATTTTTTAAGCTTCAAATATTTGTTGTAATTTGGCAATTAATCGCGATGGTTGACGAATTCGAGAGCAATTGTCTGGTAGTCTATTTCGCTAAAGTTTTAGTTTCTAACTATATACAGAGATTCATATAAAGTGACCGATGTGAGATTTAGCTAAAGTTGAAGAGCTATGAAAATTTTTATACCAAAAGATGTTTGACACAGAGGGGGACATTGTATGATACAAACGATATTTTTATAGATGAAGGCATTAAGGAGATTTCAACTTAATTTTTTAAATAGAACTTCCTATTTTTTATTGCATATTCTTATAGCTTATTTCAAGAGCTCTCCACAACACTATAATAAAATATTTTTCTCTCAAGTATTTTTTGAGTTATAAGGCTTGAAATTATTTCTTAATTTTACATGAACAGTAAAATATTCATTTTTTGATTATCTTATCTCAATATTTTTATGTACAACATAATGAGAGGAATCAATTGATGTAAAGTAATTGGGATAAAGAAAACACATAGTTATTTTTAAGAAAAAATATGTTATTGTTAATTAGAAATTACATATTTTTTCTTCGAAACAATTATGTGTTTTCTTTACACCAATTAATTCCTCTCATTATTTTGTACATAAAAGTATTGAGGTAAGATAATCGAAAAATGAATATTTTACAAGATATTTACGGTTTATTTAAAATTGAAATGATAAAGAAATGATTTCAAGCCTTATAACTCAAAAAGTACTTGAGGGAAAAATATTTCTTAATAAGTGCGAAAAATTGTAGGAGATGATTCTTTGTCGAAAATTAAGAAGAGTTTTTTTATATAAATATATATTTCTACATCCCTCCCCATTTTTAGAAGAGTGACACTTCTCCAAAAATGGGGATGAAAATTAGATTTTCAGGTTTTTATTATAATTTTGTTTCTGTTCCAATTTTTCCAACATTTTACTCTAGTTTTATTTCTATTTTAAAATTTAACTTCTCGTAATTCGAAACCTATGCTATTTAGCATCGTGCTTTGCACGATAATATATTTTATTTTTTTCTTGAAAATTACTGATTTTATGAAAAAGTAAAACAAATAAAAAAGTTTCTAAATAAATCAAACTTTTTAATACATATATTTAGATGATCATATTTCGGCTCATTAAAAAGTTCTAATAAAAAATTGAATAGGGGTTGCTTCAGTTTCCCCTTATAATAATACGGAAGACTGAAGAAAATATTAATAAATAACCTTTTTACTAGTAGAAAATATCCGCCTAATTTCATTTCTTTAACTTGTTCCAGATTTGAGAAAAAATAAAAACCTAATTTTTATCCCCATTTTTGGAGGAGTGTAACTCCACAAGAAGGGATGTAGGAGTATATATTTCTAAAAAATCTATTTCTGAAAAACTCCTTTAATTTTCGACACAGAATCATCTTGTAAAATTTTTCGCGCTTATTAAGAAACACCCTGTACATACATATATATAATTATAAATTAAAACTTTAGCGAAATAGACGCTTATAATGCTAACTTTATATATTATAAACACTAAAGATGGTTGTCCGATCATAATATTAATGGCGTAAAATAGAATTAATTCTACAATATCTCATTCAAACTCGTGACAGCCGCATGAATAATATTTCTCTACTCTCATTCCATGTAATAAATAATATTTGTTTCTAACTGTTGCAAAATTTCTTTCACAAGAATGCACGTATTATATAATCGAATAAAAAAATAAAATAAGGTACAAAAATTCTAATTTTTTAAAACACACATATCCAATGCAAAGAATTCTAAATTTATTATACAGCTCCCAAGAACATTGTATATACATATGTGCGTGTGATCTTCAAATAATAATGGGAGCCACATTTTGCGCGACTACTAACAGGGTCAAGAATGATTCGCGTTGCAATACTAAATTAACTCCGCATTTGATTCCCCAAATATTCCGCCTGTTCCACATACATGATGATCGCCGCGCGATCGGCCGCGATTACCCGAGAATTTCTGGCGTCACATTCGATAGATTTTATTTCGGTTACCTCAGTTCGGTTACCTCAGCTTCGCGAATCAACGTCAGGATCCCTGATACGCGTATTTTGCGCGCGGTACATCGTTCTGGCGCGCCTCCAACAAGAAGATATCGGAGCAGCGGAGGCCGGGGCGAGTTTATCGAATCCCGATGATCCACGTTTGCGTGTAATGCGATGCTGAACGAGCTGCGGAATTCGAATTTCAATGACAGCGATGACGCCTCCCTCGCGGCTGTTTCCTCGCGTTACGTCATAGGTGGAGGAATTAGATAGCGATGACAAAAAATGAAGATACAACGAGTGCTAAATGGACACGCGTTATCTCGTTGATGGGGTTGCACAAGTCGAACACGTGCGGACATTTTACAGATGGCAAATATAGACAATTCCTTTCCAAGCATTTATAAAAGTCCTTCAAATTCAACAGTGAGAATGCTATTAATGAAACAAAATTATAAAATTAAATTTGTTCCTCTAATAATATAATAAAGTTATATTGATATTCACAATCAATAATATTCATCGAAAATGTAAATGAAGAGAGAGTACAATGTATTTTACAACGAATTATTTTAATGTAGATTAAATAGGATAAGCTTTTGATGAAAACTTGAAAATAGCTTTGCTTGCATCGCATTGATAATTTATTGCATATCAGAGGTTTAATTGCATCGACATAAACTCAAAAATCAAATAAAAGATCCATTTTCATCATGCAATATTGACTTGTGTAAAATATGAATCATTTCTCGGTATC